TTTAATCTATTGTTCTGATTTTGAAGATTTGGGGTCCATTTGTTGTCCGTTGAGTATGATTTACTCTGAGGAATTTAAGATTTTATTAGATACTAACTGTAGTAGCTTAAGTATTACGATTGACATTATTTTAGTCGAATTGTCTCAATTAGTTGCCATGATATGTTTAGCTTAGAAAGAAAGAGGTTCATGTTTAACCTCAAATACGATCTCTTGTTTCTTTTTCCTCTTAATCTTTCAGTATTATTTCTAGTTGTCCTGATATGTGCCATTTATTGCTTTGATTTCCTTCATCTATTCTCAGTCCCTGTGGGACATATTGGGGTTATGTTTGAATTCTTTTATTGTTCTCCTCTAGTTGATTTCAAGTGCTTCATGAGACCCAAGACTCTAGGCCTTTCAGTGATAATGTATCTTTCTGATTATTTAGTATCTTGTGTCTTATATTTCTTAGTTACAGTTACAGTTGAAGATGAAGCAAATTAGTAACATGCAGCTTAATTGACAAACCAAACATGATTTTGTCGCCTGTATCTCTTGTCCTTTTTATCAGTTGAGGGTGGAGTTTGGTTTCAAACAGTAACCTCTTGTTGGTTTATAGCTAGCCCTGTTTCAAAACTGATTTTTCTTGTTCTAAGACATTCACGTAATTCCATTTCCTGGAATAATTTCATATGGACATTCAGTGACACAACAAGGCCATGGATAACTTCTGGCTGTATGTCTCGCCTTAGGATTAATTGTTCTCGACTTCCAAGTATTTATATTCCATGTTACATAAACTAGCTCATATCATCGACCAATTGACAATGTGTTACTTGACTTGGGTCATAATCCATCTTAGCTCATATCATCTTTGTAAACATGCTTTTAAGTCCTCCCCCATTATGTTATTTAACCAAATCAAATTTGACAAGCTACAATTAGGGTTTTACATATTTGGGAAAATAAAAAATTCATATTGTACAATTAAAAAAGCAGTTAAGCTCCTGCATGTGGACCCACCGATATGCTTGGGTAACATTTATTGCATAGATAGGTTTTGTAGTGAGCCCCTTCCTAGGTGATGCATGATGCTGTGGAGCCATATAGAGAATTCTTGTTATACCATCTTCTTTCACTGTACTCACTAAAATTCTGCTTAATGTTATGTCTGTAACAGGGATGAAGATGAACCCAATATCTAGAGAAAGCCATGAAGTTTGGATTCCTAACCATTTTTCTTTCTTGTTAACTCTAGGAGGTTGAGTAATTGGAAGATTTATGTTTATTTGGTGATTAGCCAGTATAGGACTAAGAGCATTGTTTATTATTCCTTCCTATGATATTGTCAAGGATTCTTTTTTGGCTTCTTCATACGATGTCTGGAGCGAAGTTGAGAGGTTTGGAGTGAGGGAGAAGCTCTAATTAGTTGTTTTAAACAGCAGTCACATGCTGCCTAGGAGAGCAAAATGAGATGAAAATAGTAGAGTTACTATATGTGGTATAAAGACGCTTTAAACACTTGTATAGGATAATGTTGCTTAGCAATGCATAAAGACTAAAATTTCCTTTTTCTTTCAGATATTTGTGATTCATTCTTTTTGGTGGTTGGTGGAGTTTGATCCATCTATTGCTTCTTGGTTTTTATTGTAGGCAATGGCTGGACCAAAAAGGCAATCTGAGAAAAAGCGAAGCACAGCGGAAAAGCATGTCAGCTTAAGTGTTCTCCAGCAATACTTTTGTGGGAGCTTGAAGGATGCTGCCAAAAGCATTGGTGGTGAGACTTCTTCCTCATTTTCATACCAAAGTTTATTGTCTTTGCCTATACTAGAAACTATGTTGATTGCTTTTATAAGAACTGTGTGAATGGAATTTTGAGAAGGATGTCAACAAATTAAACTTTGATCTTTAGTTTCTTGTTCCTTCTAAAGTCTTTCTACTTGCTACCTACATTGTTAGCTACCTGTGAATTGAAAATGGTTCTATTTGTTTTTTTTTCCCCTTGTTTTTGGACCTGATACTACTTTGTATTAACTGCTCAAGTGCTTGTAGTGAATAATGAAAATTATAACAGCAACTGCATCACACTGATTTCAACCTGCTTTATGTGGAATTGATGGAAAGCAGTTTCTATTGGCCCCTCTTGCACCCACATTGCTTTTCTTCTCTTGTGACCATGTAGAAAGAGGGAAACAGGGGCAAGAATAATGTAAATGGAATTTTGTTAACTTAATTCCCTTTCTCTGGAATGATGAAATGTTTGTCACTGGTCACTCAGTGCTTACAGTTTTGTTTCTGTTTTTGCAGTTTGTCCGACTACACTAAAAAGAATATGTAGACAGCATGGCATCTTGAGGTGGCCATCCCGCAAGATAAACAAAGTGAATCGTTCTTTGAAAAAGATCCAAAGTGTGCTTGACTCTGTTCAGGGGGTGGAAGGAGGTCTGAAGTTTGATCCAGCTACTGGGGGCCTATTGGCTGGTGGCTCTGTCATCCAAGACTTTGATACTAGAAAAGGCATGCTCTGTCCAGTAAAAAGTGCTTCTCTCAGAAACCCTGATTCACTCACCCAAGATACAACTTCTGCTTGTCAAACTTATTGCATGGATGGCGAGAATTCTGTGGTCAAAATGGAAGAGTGCGATATGGATGCCATTGAAGTGCAGAATGCTAATATGCTGAGTCCAAACTCTCGTAAGGAAGCAAGTAAACTGCAATCAAGCACAGTAGTATGCTGCAATGACGGCAAACTGGCTGCATTAGATGCAGGGCAATCACAGCCAGCTAGTCCTTGGCCATATTCTGGTAATGCATCTCTTGATTCTTACCTAAAAAAGAGTAGCGACAAGGAATGGTGTCTAAATGGTGATAGGCAGAAGTTAGGTAAATCCGACCATCAGTTAGTTTCCCTTAGTTCGAGCTCTCTTGTTGTTGTTGATGAGATTGAGGCGAAGATGAAGAGTGATAATGGATTGGATGGTGATGACGGAGGCCTTGAATATAATCAGCCTACCTCCTCAAGCATGACTGACTCATCAAATGGGTCTGGGTCAATGATGAATGGCAGTTCATCAAGCTCTAGAAACTTTGGTGAACAAAAGCATTCAAAAAATGAGTCAAACTTCGGAGACAGCAGTTCAAAACTGACTGCGAAAGCTACGTATAAGGACGATACGATTCGATTTAAATTTGATCCTTCTGCAGGATGTTTACAACTTTATGAAGAAATTTCAAAGAGGTTCAAACTACAATTGGGGGTGTTCCAGTTGAAGTACATGGACGATGAAGAGGAATGGGTGATGTTGGTAAGTGATGCAGATCTCCAAGAATGTCTTGAGATCCTAGACTTTCTTGGTACTCGGACTATCAAGTTTCTGGTACGAGATACACCTCAGACCGTTGGCAGCTCAGGTAGCAGCAATTGTTACTTGACAGGAGGTTCATAAAGTCAACGGCGCAGGCTGATAACTGTTGTTTCTTGAAGTGAATTATGTTGGCTTCGAAGCTGATCTCAAGGAGTGACTAAAAACATCTTGTTTTGCACTCATCTTCTGGAGTTTTGTCTTTATACTGGTTGTGCCAATTGTATTTTGGCTGAAAAACCAAGCATATAAAAGAATAAGAAGGAAGAAGCAGGCCAACGGCTAGCATTTTTTCCAGTAAGGTTTCTGATTGAAATCCATCCATGTCACTAGATCTTTTTTTTTACTTTTGTACATGTAGAAGTTACTGAGGTTTGCAGTCTTTAGAAGAGCTAGGCCGCTAAATGTTTGTGTTCTAACCCATTCTGTATAGTAGTTAGGTAAAACATATGTAGGAAAGTATGAGAGTATCAGGGGCTAATATCTCTGCTAATGTATGTTTTTGTATGAAAGGATAGTAGATTTGTTACTTTCTGTTTCTATCTTACCCTATTTTGTGCTGCCTTGTCGTTGTGCATTAGAAGCCCTTACAGGGCAAACCTTACTGTTGTTGTTTTACATTTGGTGACCCGAATTGTTTCACAAACCATAACGATAGAGCAATTGATATGATCTTTTCTAGCAATTTTAAAAGCATCAAGAATGATGAACTAAAGGTTGAGTACACAAAATCTCCAATGGCCTGGCGAATTTGAACATAACCTTATTTTAATTTTATAACCTTACCCTTTAGTACGTTGTGTATAATTGTCAAGTTTTCTAGTAGCAGTTTTACGAGTAAAACAATGATGCTATTAGCCAAAAGGGTGTGTTTTGGAACCTGATTAGTGAAAAGGGTGATAGGCATGAAATCTTCAAGTAATTTAAGGTCGGATAAGAATCAAGTAAGCTATTTGCTTGTTTTTAGGCATGTTAGTTGGATTATGTGAGCTGAATTTTGATACGTACGAACTACATGAAATATCATTGTAAGTTCAAATTCATTACTCTTTTATTTGATTGAATTTAGATAAATAAATCTTCTCAATTCTCACATAAACTTATAAAATGCCAAAATTGAGTAAAGAAATAATGAATAAAAATTTTAGGCAACAAACTATATATGTGTGTGTCTCAACTCAATTCACGTTGCATGAGTTCAAGCCAGTAAATTTAGGGCCAAGCAGAGCAGCCTAGCCCAGCCTATTTGACAGGCCAACTTCTTGCCCATCATAACGCAAACAAAAATTGAGCAAAACGGTCGTTTGCTTTGCATTTCATGGACTAAACCACATGTACATAAAAACATGTTCTTCAACGCTATAAGAATTTGAGTTGATACCCTCTTTATCATTAACTTTTGAAAGATTTGCTTATTAGGCTTGAATGGTTGGCTTCTTCCCAAAATTTCCCTAAATCAATTGCAATAATACATGTTCCCTTTGGTTGTTTATTTTAATTTATCAATTGTTCTCCATTGCCTTCATCCACAAAGGTACTGCTATTGCACATCTTCTCCGACACTGAGCTGCTTAATTACCAGTCATTACAATTATTTGTCTACCGAAGCTATGCTTTAAATTAGAAATTTTAAAGAGCATTTTTAAGCAAAATGTATTGCTACGAACTGGCTGGTGTAGGATTGAATCAGAATAGGTTAGTAATTGTATGGTGATTTCTTCCCCAAGAAAGACTCACTAATGACAACTAAGCTTTATTGAATTCAGAACTCTCTAAGCACAAACACCAGGATGGCAAGTGTAAACCGTCTTTGACATTTACCATGAATTGGATCTCCAATCCCGATGAAATATGCTCTAGAAAACACCATAAAGCACAAACACCAAAAGCTAAATACTGCCTCCATCCAGGAAAATTTGGACAGCGCAAGATATGCAATGGTTGCAATGGTTAATGATGTATCTCTGTCTCTGTTGTCCCAGATTCGAGTATCCTCAATTGCAAACCTGCAGCAATTTATTGTAGTTTATTGCTCCTGACTAAATGAAAGGTTCACCAAAAGTGAACCATATACCAACTCAAATAGATAGATGGCAAGTTTCCCCCCAAAAAAAAAAGAAAAAGGAACTTACTCATCTACGGTGGATGACAACACGAGGTTTGCAGTGTCTAAGGATGTGCTCATTCCTTTCTTTTGCTCTCCATTTTTTGCTTTTCTCACAAATTGACCTGCATATGAAGTTTGCGAAAGTCCAACCTTCTCATGAACCTGAATAAATTGCTGTGGCGGCCTACTATTTTACATCCATTACTCAACGCAAGCATGCAGGCCTAGCACGCTTCATACCTGCGGCATGATGTATCATAATTGTCAAAGGAAATAATGAAATTTAGTAGATAAAAGAAACTTCAAAGGGAGAAATATATATAAAGAAATAAAATAGCACCAAGATTTGAGAATAAATGGTTCAAATCTGGTCTGCCGCCATAAAGATGATGCTCATAGAAATAACTTCAGTGCATAATCAAGAATGGGGATGTTTAGGGAACCCACATAATGCCCGATTATTGGAGTTTGTTGCTGCTATAATCCAGTGAATGCTAGATACATCAGCTCTCGAGGCATGGAGTCATCTTAGGCCATCATCTTAGGCCATAAAGGACAATATCTACAATTAGGACTTTCCTTTTGGAGTCAAATTTATGTTGTCAGGTCAAACTTATACTCTCAATTTTCTTGGCCTTTAGCATCCAAAATGTTAAGCATCCTCAGGTTTAGTGTTTGCTCAGTGCCTGGGAAGCTTTCGGCCTTCAAGTCTCGTTTCTTTACGTACACAATTACTTTCATGAAGGTCTAATGGAACAGACAAGGTTAGTTGGACTAGAATCTCTCCACTGAATTGATGGACCCTGTCTTTTGCTTATTTTTCTAGGTCTCCTCTTCTAAGATTTTGCTGGTGCCCTTTCAAATCCTCTAATGTTTACCAGTTTCTGAAATGGAAGGATGCACATCCATCTTTAGCCACTAACTCTAATTGGTGCTGGAGTGCTTGCTATCCTGCTTTCTACTAGAAAAGTAAGCAGACAATGAGTGAATTGGCACCGATAAGTGATAGCCAGTTACTATTGCATAATCTCTCCCAAAAACTCCCTTGAAATTAGAACTTCATAGATTTCATGACTAGCTATCCAACTTTCCAGTAAATACATTAAACTGACATCGAGAAAATAAGAATAAAGGTAAGTTTTGGTCTTAAGGATCTGTTACAGTTAGTGAATGACAATCTAAATACTTTAATCACCCTAGCCTCTCTTCAAAAGGCAACTCCATAAATTCTCTCAAGGTTTTAAAGATCAATTCTAAGCGCAAATGGTGTCAATTTATAAACATAAGTAATGACACAAATCTGGGATCTCTGACAAAACTCATTATTCATCAATTGACACAATCTTTATGCACAAAGAAACAAAGTTGACTCACAGATTGACCTGTCTGACACCATTAGATAAACATACACTCCATACATCATTTTCATCAACATAAAGATCTAAGAGAACCACACTTGAGAACATTAATCATAAGGGCAATCGTTAAACAACCAAACACAGTTGGAACTCACAAAACTCAAATAACAACTTTTCATTCCTAAAGTAAATAACAGTTAAGTTCTGATTCTTCCAGTACACAACATGATGATTTTAACATAGTATTTGTTGCCAATACGTTGTAGGCATTGCTTTTTTAGGCAGGAACCTGAACATTAACCGCAGCATTCTCCTATTTATTTGAAGTTGTCTTGTCACACTAAAGCTCACCAAAAAAATCTACTGTGTTCAGAAGGTGAAAAGAACAAAAGAACATGTTAGTAATAAGTACCTTTGGAGTCATTAGGTACTGATTCACGGTTTTGAAGATATGTCAAGTGATGCTTGCCTAGGTTCAGGTGTTGTGCTTGTGCAAACTCATCTAACATGCCACCAATAATACTGTAGATGGCCATACTTGTCTCATCACAAGCTGTCTGTATAGAAAGGTACTTATTTACACCTTTACATTGCTTGTGGTGCAATATACCTCTCTCTCCCAGTGGAGAGCTATAATGCAGGGAATCTCCATTTCTTGCATTGTTATTCACAATTTTGTCTGTCTTTAGATCATGGCCACTTTCTCTTCTGCCAGCAGAGAGAGGTGAAGAAGATCCACATTGATTGACTGTAGAGCAAAAAGGATGCAAATCAGTTGGTTCAAGCTTTAACAAACTTGCCGACTGGCGCTCATTTCCATTAGAGCTTTCTATGTTGTCTAACATTTTTGATTGTGAAACAGAAGAGCAATAGACAGAATCATTGGGCTCAAACATATCCCTCGCAAAATGCACGGATTCCATTCTACTATTTAACTTACTCGTGGGTGAAATAAGTGAAGCCCTGCCATCTCCATTACCTGAAGAGATGGGCGAATCAATATCACGGGGGTTGGTTTCACCAAAACACTCTGTTAAGTCCTTAAAATCATCAAAACTTGATTTAGAACTTTGAGGAAGATCAATCCCTTTCTCATCCTCGTCATCATCACTTTCCTCTAATACCTCCATGTAGGCGTTAGCAAAATCTTGATCAACTTCTTGTCCAGGTAGAAGGTTCCAGACAACCTGCTTTGTCTCAGCACTCAAGCATAATAAAAATTCCACCTCCTGTTCCACTTCATCCTTTGAGGTGCTCCTACAAGCTGGATTACAGAATCTTTTGTTAATGTAGTAAACTGCCTGCACTAAACATTCTGGAATAATTTCCATATCATCACACTCAAAAAGAAAATCCATGAAAAGATTCCTTATAGTCAAGCACGACCATTGCTTTGAATTCTCAACTTTAGAGTCTGCCCACTGATGCAAGATTTCATGCAATGCTTCAATTTCAGCAACGACCACACTGTTTCCAGAATTAAGAAGACAAATAGCCCTTGCAATATCATTCTGTAGGGATTCTATATGAGGTGCAAATGTTCGAAATTCAACTACAGAGGGGCGGCCAAGTATCAATTTTAGCGTTAAGCCTGCAACTGCCAGAGCTTTGACCAGAGGTTCCTGTAACTCTTCCCCTTCACGCAGTTCTGATAGCATCTTCATACAACGTTTCCTAACAGTATCTATCAAGACATGTTTCACCTGATGTTTACAGGGACCTAACTCAGGAATGTACCCACTTTGACCTCTAAGCTTCCTGTGCATTGCATTTAGCGTCTTAAGAGGCAACTCCTCAAGTCCATCTAACACACTAGCAGCAGCAGTTTGATAATCAGTTGGTACCCTATCCAACCCCAGGATATACTGAGGATTATTGAGAAGAATGAAAATCTGATTCATTCTCATTTCAACATTATGGTTTTCCTTGTTAAGAAATGTGGGAAGGTATTCTTTGATTAACTTTCTCATTTTCCACCTAGTTTTTTCAAACTCAATCGAGCCCTCTGTCAGCAAGCCAGCAAGACAACACAATCCGTTGTTTGTCATTTTATCAAGCAGGGATGACAGATTGTTCAATAGATACTGTGAATCAAAGGATGGCCCATCCTTTTTAACTTCCTGATTTTTTACCAAGCTTTGAACTCCAAAACCCCTTTCGACGAAGGACCTGACATTGTCATAGTATACCTGTAAACCAATTATTCACATAAATATCAACTAATGATGAACAAAGAATACTTGTCAAAGCATTCAGTAAATCAGGACAACTGAAGCACCAACTTCACGTGAACTAGGAGGTTTTACATCGTAATAAAAATGGTAAAACATATATTTATCTTCCTTCTAACAATTAACATGTTCTTTAAGCGTAATTACATTAAACACCCCCCCTCCCCTGATAAAGCAGACTTAAAATTTACCTCCCTATCCTTTTGATACCTACAAATGACCCCCTTGTGTTTTTGGTAAAACTGAAAATTTTTACTTTTCTTGTAAAGTTAATCACGCAAAAGACAAACTCAGTAACACATTAATTTAGAATTACAATACACCCTTCAAATAATTTCCACAAGAGTTCAAGGTAAGCATATTTTTTTAGGGGTTTAAATAAAATAATACAACAAAAAAATCTGGGCAAACTTAAAAGGTCATTTTTTTTCTTCTTTGACAATCATCAGTGACACAATATTTCCCGCATAATTCTACCACCATGTTCAACCATTTCCTGGTGACTTTAAAAGAACACATAATCCACTCTGATTTTAGCGAAGAGAACATTATTTGCCATCTAAACAATGAGTCTGAACCAACAACCACAAACAAAATACCAAAAATCCCATCGACCCCATTATGAGAAAAAGGATTTTATATCAATTAATTCTTCAAATTTGAATATCAATCCCTAAATGTAATTTGATACAGGAAACACTACAAAATTTTTCATTTCGCCCAATTTTCAGCAAATTTTGTTTACATTGTTCTGAGAGTCTAAGAGAAGTGATTGGTGGTAATTAGAGGCAGAAATTTGAATCTATATCCACTTCTGAATCAAATAAACCAAGCTTAATGAACTTGTGATTTAAGAAAGTGACTTTAAATGGATGACCATTTATACCCAGTCAAGTTGGTGGATATAAATAGCTTATCCATGCCATCTATATGCCCAATTATCAAAAGAAGAATGAGAACCGAAGAAAGTTACAGGATAATGAGTGTCACTAAGACTAGTCTGAAGATGACTAATTCAAAAAGTCAGGAATAACACCAGTGAAATCAGTTGCTCTTGAGACATGAAGCTGGTGCACACGAGTTATATGTTTCAGGCACAAACTCACCATGTAAAACCTTATAGGAAGGACAACCCTAACAACCTGACCTGGCTGGATTCAACTCCTCTTGAGGAAGAGCAGTGAACTGTTTGTGAGTAGTGGATAATAGGTTCTAGTCAACGTTAGCTACGCAATAAATACGATCAACAATATTCCTCCATTTAGACTCATTTATCAAATAGTTGTATATAAATCATATTAATTTTATCCACTACCCATTAAGTAATACCATTCATCCATTTTGACAGTTCTAGTGATTGATGGAGAGTACTTGTGAAACTGACTAGCATAAAAATGAAGAGAGACAAAAGCCAGGAAACCAAACTACAGCAACAGGAAACGAAAACAGAAGAAAGATAATCTGCAAATAGATATCAAAAAAGGCAAAGCAAGGAAAATTAGGATGACAATGCAGAGATAAAACAAGATAAACTCTCAATCAAAAGAAGAGGCATCTGTGGTCCATTGTGCTGTGTAAAGGGAAAAATATAAAAAAAAGGGGGCCAAAAAAATGAAAATTATGTTCAAGTATAGAGGTTCATCAATCAAATGCATGCTATCCATGCATTCTGAAATGTAACTTACCTTCAGTTTAGGATGAGCTACATACAAGGACCTGACATTTTAAAACTGCAGAAGATAGGTAAAGCCATGTCCCGTGATTTAAATAGACAAACAAGAATAAACTGATACTATTGGAAACAATATCCCTAGGAAGTTACCCAATGAAATATTGTATTACCATAAGATTTATCAAAAAGCAAATCATCACAATAAGAGAAAGAACAAAAGGGGAAAAAAAAAAGAAACTTACATCATCTTCTCTAATCAATGTTTCAGGTGTAAACCTGCAGCATAGGAAGGAAAAGCAAAATGAAAAATGGCAATCAATCCTAATCTGACATACATTATCATAAGAAGAACACAAAAACTTGCATACCACTATTCTCTTATAGTTCAATAACTTTGTGCTCAAAGTTACTAGAATAGCAACATTAAAAACATATCAAATCAAATAGGGGCATTTTAAGGCAGACAAACAACATGAAGAGGTATGATAAAGCACCAACGGTGAACTGATCAAGGGTAGAAACAAGAAGATGAACGAACTCTTAATAAAAGTGACGAATGATCACAAGACTGATTAGCATTCTTTCTATCTCACAAATTTATCGTGCGAATTTGTTAGCACATCATCTTTGAGGATCTAGGTACCAAAGCACAAGTACAGCCAACAGAACTGCAAGTGATTCATTATCTTTTCCTATAGTTTCCTCCATTCAGATAGGTGCTAATATCATGAGACTTTGATTCTCATACTTAAGTTTGGTACTTTGCAGCTACAAGTTTTTATCAAGAACCAATAAACCCAAGAACTCTCTTACTGAATTACTACCTAAATTGCAAATCGGTTGAAAAAATTGAAAGTATTTCAAGTAGTACTGCCCAATAACATTTTATTTTTATTTCTTTATTGTACTTACCAACTAAAAATGGATTACTGATAATGGGACTCCCAAATTTCTTAATGGCACTCTGTTTGATAAACATACCCCAAAATTCCATTTCAATTAGAATATAGGAGGAAATGGTGTAATCCTAGTTGTAAAGCTATTTGTGAATTATCACGTGATTAAAAGATAAAGAGCGAGTTTCATTAACAAATATGGGAGCATCAATCCCTGTATATACCTTTTGTGATACTACTAATATTTACAGCTACTAAAGCAAACCAATTAATATGATTCATGAGTTTACACTAGAACAGAGTTTAGATAATTATTAACATTTTTTCAAAAATGCTACCAACGAAAGGAAAAAAGGGAAAAAAAAGGTTTTAAGCAGAAGAAAATGAAAGATAACAATTAACATACATGTCTTCCAGATGATTCAATTCCTTGTGTAGCTTTTTCTCCAACCCAGACAGAGGCAAATCCATCAACAACCTGTGCCAAACAGTTCTCTTTTTTTGGGCCATATAGTGACAATAATAAAATCATATTATCCATTGGAAAAAAGACAAAGAGAAACCTTCTTTTGAGCTTGAGAAGATTATCTTGTTTTGTAGTTTGTAATAGTAGATTCATAGAATTCTCCATCGTAACCTAACCAGCTGCGCCTTAGCTTTCTCGTTTGTGAGTTCTGTAGGTGGGCATGCGACCGCACAGGTCAAAGACTGAAAATATAGATAATAGTTACCAATATGTAGAAGTGAACAAAAGAAGAGGAGCCAGCTATTAATAAGAGACCTAAATTGTCAATATTCTAGTTTTAAGGCAAAAATGATTTAATTAATGCTGAACAAATAATATGTACTTAATTAGCATTAAAAAATGCAAAAAAAAAGGATGATCAAAAGTAACAAAACGTCTAATTTCATGTTTATGTTGGACCACCCCTAGCACACAAGATCATTCCACAATAATGAAAGTAAGAAATAAGTTTAGAGAAGCAAAGAATAACACGATAATAGAATCATATTAGCCTCTAGCAACGACTTACATGACAATAAGTATTAAAAGGAACAACTAATTAAAGCTTAACTAAAGGTGAATTATACTTAATTTGACAAATTGAAACTGATAATTGACTTGTCTAGTAGTACGGATCTAAAACAAAGCTAAGGAGTCAATCGAAAAGAAACCAAGGAGCGTCAAAACAGAAAACTAGGAAAGTCAATGGACTAAAGTTGCATTTTTATTTTAAAAAAATCGTTTTTCTTCGCTGAACCAAAATGCCACCGCTGCTATTTGTCATTCTCCTTTTTCTCGGATTGGTTCTCAACTCTGGCCACGTATCATCCATCTGAAGAATGGACGGTTGAGTATGTGGCCCCATGTAACTTTAGTGGCGTGGGCCGAAAAAGACGCTAGAGGCGGACATGTGAATGATGGATAGGGGGTCATGTGTCATCCATCCAAAGGATAAACCAATGTTTTAAAACCCGGACCGTCAAGCGAACCGGTGAAGTGAAAGGGTCGAGGTTCAACCGGTCGAACCGGTTCAACCCCGGTTCAATAAATTAATAATATATATATATCCTAATTTGCATCTCCTGTTAGTGTACTATCTACATGCCTTTCCATGAACAGCAGAATTAGATTAAATCTAAATGCAAGTTTCCTAGCTCAGGAAACACACACACACATCTATGCACAGAATAAGATATAAATGTTAAACTACAATTAACATAAGAGCAATATCCAACAATTAACACACACAATTAACATAGTTTTCCAACTTACATGTCCAATTGTCTAAATATTAGAATTAACAAAAAACACTACAAGTCTAGAAAACAACCAAAAGGTCCAAACAAGTCCAATTTATTAGTCATCATCATGATAAGTCATCTTGACAACAAAGCTTCATCATTCATTCTGGGACAACAAAGCTTCAAAAGGTCCTTTATTAAGCTTTGGTTTTTCTTCCATTGTCTGGGATAGTCTTTAATTCTATGTTTGGAATCTGTTTACAAGTACTTAAGTAGGTTTGACCAGGACAGTTTCTTTAGGGTTGTCAGACTAAGGCCAATTGCAGAATCATTAGCCTCAAGAACATAGCAAGAATCATCCACGGTTAGAATTGTTCTTAGTGATGTCAAAAATATATTCATGTAACTCAGAATTTTTATACCTAGGATAGAATTTATATTCTAACATTCTTGGTTACACGTGGCAGCTTTTGGTTGCTTCTCTAGTATTCAGACTCCTTGTACATGTTTGGTAGTAGACAGCAGTCCTAATATGTAGACATAATAGTTTTCCAACTGTAGGTTGTGCATAATTTAATGAGCTCTAATTAGTCAACAATAGATTTGGTTGTTTACCTTTCAGAAACAGGAGGTCACGGAATGATTTAGTTGCATGTAAACCTAGCAAGGGACTTATATTATTTAATAAGTGGAGTAGCATTTGAGCTTCTGTGAAATACACTAATGGTGGGTTGTAGAAAAGATGATTTGAAGAATATACACCAAAAGGACAGAAACCAGATATGTATAAACATTTTGTCTTATAGACAGAAGCAGAAAAAGCTTTGGCTAAAGTAAGAAAAGAACCTTGCTGTACAGAAAATCAAATTCTGTTTCATCATAGAATCTTTGTGTCACTGCACTTTGGTTAATAAAGTTTCCTAATTATAGGATTAAGTGTTTACCTATAACAGCTAAAGATTGAAAGACTGGCAACTATGATAAATGGTAGTATGAGATTATTATTGAAAGAGTCATGGTTATTATATCTATGTTAACCTGTTATATTAACCTGACAAGACAAACAAGAAGATTTGTTCAACAACTGAAAAACATGTTTTGGAAGATTGTGTCAAATTCTCACTTCACTTCACCAAGTAACCAAACGTGTCAAAAATTCATCCCAATTCGCCAAATGGAAGTACTTGAAGCAAGGGAAACTTTCTACATGCTTCAATATCAAATTATAATACAACTCCACAGTGACATGGTTATCAATTACTGAATTAAGTGACAGAAGGGACCATATGATAGGCTGTCCAACTGAAAGACCGAGGACTTTTTTTTTCTTTTTTTTTATCCAGTTTTCAGATAATACCAAAAGAAAAAGACTTTTACTGAGGCCGTTGGTGGAATTTAGCAGTGAAATACTGGGAATTTAGCAGTTTAGTACCAACATCTGGTACCTGACCACCAATTAATTGACATTTTTTATTGTCGGCCAAAAACATTAATAGGGAGTCTACCTCCCAATTAAGTTCCGGTTTCACCAGCGGCGCAACTCAACAACAGGGCAACCAAATTATCTAACGAGTCAAAAAAAAGAAAATTGCAGGACAAACAGACTGACAGCTTATCTAATTTGAGGACAAACCAAAAAAAAATTGATTTAGGCTGATCAGCTTATAATATAATCATTTAGCTGCTGCTGCAATGACAAGTTAATAAGGATCATATGCCCAAAAATTACGGCAGTATATATACATTATACAGAGGGCCGAGGGGACGGAAGGGCAACCAAAACCCAATAATCAACAACGAAAGGAAAAAAAAAAGGGAAAAAGGATAAACAAACCTGGTATAAGCTTGAGGCCTTTCAGGAGTGCAATAGTAAATCTTAAATGAGAATCGTGAAGGTAGCAGCTGAGATGAATTGAGAATCGTGAAGGTAGCAGCTGAGATGAATTGGTGAATTGATGTCCCTAAACCTAAAGCTGAGAATCGTGATGTCCCTAAAGCTGTTGATGAATTGATGGGTAGCAGCTGAGAAATGAGAATCGAAACAAATGAATTGAGTTGAAGCGGCGAAGCGAAGAGTGTCGTGAAGGCTGACGACTGAAGAGTGAACTGAAGAAGTGAAGATTAGGTTTAGACTTTAGATAATTGCGGTCAAAATTGAAAATTCGGTCAAAAGTTGGAGAACCGCGGTTCACAGGTTGAACCGGTTTTAACGGGTTTTACGATTTTTACAATTTTGACCGATTCTTGGCCCAGGTCAACAAAGACTATGAACTGGACCAAACACATGACCGGTTTGCGTTGGAAATGAGAGGAGATGGACCTGGCTTGTTGAGATGGTTGACAGTGGCAGTTGATCTTATAATCATGGTGCTAAAGGATCGGACAGCGCAAGTGAGAGAGTTCTTCCAGACCATGGAATTGGCATCTGGGAAAAACAAATACATAAAGTAAGTTGAGAGCAACGCAAAATCCATAAAGGAACATTTCAAACTCAACATCATACTCTACTTATATAGCACACAAATAAAACTGAGAATTAGTCGTGTTAAAAGAATAAAAAAGAGACAGCTAACCAAATGAGACAAACATACCAATTTAAAAGCAATTCCACACCAGAAAAGACTGTCTTGAGCAAGCAAAGAGCCAGTACCCCTAAATAAGAAGTCAGAATACTAGTAAAGTCAGAGAAGAACTGTACCATAAGCAATTCAAAAAATGTGAAATTCATCACACACTCTAAATTGTGACAAACAAAATATCTGATTCATGAATTTTACATACATGCAAAACATCCTAAATGCCAAACATCCAATCTCAGAATTACTTCTAATAAGAAAAAAGGTGTACAAGTTCTACATGTTTTAGGAATGCAGGTTTTTGAGACTGTAAGAAAGAGCTGAACATTGGTACAAGGTCCAATCTTGCTCTATAACAGTACCACTAGCTGAAAGCCAAAATCAATTACCACAAAATAATCATAGACAAAAAGCCTAAACCTTGCCTTGAACATGCTGTGCTAATAAAATCTAAGAGCAGAAGCAAAAACAAATATTCAAGCTCGAACAACTTAATTGAACAGTGGCATCCAGAGCTTTTCTTGTAAGTGCTAAAGCAGCTGGTGTTCATAACAGCATATACATTCAAAGCTCTGATACAGTTCAAAGGGAGGTAAAATCACAGGATAGAGAGGGTTTGGCGAAAAACTAATAGCAATTAATTTGCCAATTACCACAAACTCAACACCAAAAAGCATAGACCTTGTCTTGAACTTGCTGTCACAATTTAAGAGAAGATGCAAAAACGGATTTGTGAGCAATTTATTGAACTGTGACAACCAGAGATTTGCTTAAAATGTTAAAACACAATAGCATCTACATTCTCCTTACAGAATCAAAGATAGTTTAAAAGGGGGGAAAACAGAGGATAGAATGTTAGTTGAAAAATAAGAACTATTAAATTGCAAATAAGCACATGGGAGATATAAAACTATGATAGTTGAGTACATCGGAGATATAAAATCTAGTGAATTCAATTAACTCAATATTACCTCTTCTACTATAATTTTTTTTTTCTTTTTTCAAATTATTGTTCTGCCTCCTAACTATTGTAGCTTGTCCCTTTAGCTCTTGAAATTGACACTCCAATGTCTCTAGCAATCCATGATGTATTCCTACTAATTTTTTTCAAGTTGCTAAAGTTTACATTTCAATTTAATTGAGATACTATGATCCTCAATTGCTTAATTCTTAGCTTATCCTAGAAGCCAGTGTTCTTACTTCCTGAAAGTTCAATATGGATGCATACAATATCTCATTCCCTTTAGGATCACCCAGAATTGTCCCAGCATATAAAATGACGATAGTTGAGTGCATCAGAGATATATAAAATCTAGTGAATTCGAATAGAACTTAATTTTGATACATAATAATATAATGCCTTCAAGGTATAGATTCTGAACTATAAAAATGGCTTTTTAGTAAATGAGAGTTGTTGCTAATTTTTAAATTAATGATTAAGTGTGTCAGTAATTAGGTTATCCACCACTAAAATCTTAGGAGTAGAGTTGGGGTGTAACAATAGGAAAACAATAATGACAACCAAGAAGCGCTTGACAAAATCAAGAATTTTGTCAATGTAGATACGCATCTCCCCCAAATGCTATGGAAAAAAATTATGATTTTGATTGGAATCAAATTCACCGTGCTTTAATAACTCTTCAGATTGATTTATAAAATAAACTACTAGTTGCACTCCCCAATGTTTGATTGCTACATAATATCGTCAGTAATCTAACTTATTCAAAGACAATGTCAACAAAGTTCTTTGCTTTGAAAAGGAGAAAAATAGAAAAATTGCTTATGTAGAAAAAAGGACAAACATCAATAATTGGAAACCAGTCACCTAATGATCCATCTCCACCTTTAAAATAAAAAAATAAATGAATAACACAATTATTACCTGCACACACAAAAATTAAGTAAACTAATAATTAGACCATGGATAAAGAACAAAAAATGGATGTTTTTAACTACCTAAATAAATTTTGAAAAGGGGGAAAATAGAAAAATTACTTATGTACAAAGGAGGACAAACATAAATAATTGGAGACTAATTGCCCAATGATCTATCATTAATTAATATTAAAAAGAATATGCGAGAAGTCCCAGATTCGAGACCTCCAAAATATACAAAAATACTAATAATTAAAAAGGATATAAGCAAGAGGTCCTATATTTGAGAGCTCTAACACATAAAAAAAAAAACACTAATAATCAAACAATGAATAAAGAATACCAATAGAAAAAGAGATGTTTTTAATTAACCTTGAGCTCAATGAATGGAGACCAACATAAATTATCGGAGACCAGTCGCCTAATGATCCATCACCGCCTTTAAAAAAATAAAAAATAAATGAATAACAAAAATTATTACATCCACACATAAAAATTAAGTACTTATGTACAAGTACACAAAGACTTGGGCACAATTTATCATTTCACAGAGGGGAAAAAGGGGAGAAGGAAAAAAATTAAATAAAATTGCTTATTGTGAAAGATTCATAACATAGATGAAAAGTTAATAGGCATTAATAAATTTGTCGTAGAGGGGGGAAAAAGAGAAAACAAAATAATAGTATATATTGTTAAGTTAGGCATTGGTAAATTTGTCATAGAGAGGGAAAAACAAAAGAATAATATATATTGTTAAGTTGGAGGAAAATTTCATAAACAACAAATAAATGAATAAAGCAACCACAAGTAAGAAAAAAAATAAAGAAACAAAAGGGAAAAAGGACAAAAAAAAAGAGAGAAAGGAACAAAGATAGTACATTTGCGATCTGAGGGGAGAAAAAAAAGAGCAAAAAAAAAAGAAGAGAGACAAAAGAACAAAGCAAAGGGGAAAAAACAACAAATCAGGCATACAAAAAAGAAGAAGCAAGAGAGAAATGTGCAATGCACATGAGGTGGACAGCCACCCGTGAATAGTAATCGTTAGATGGTTTACTATCTTATATTAATAATGATAAAAATATCTTATAATAATATCTTATATTAATAATATCTTATAATAATGGTAAAAAAAATAAAATCATCTCTCAAATATGGTGTGCAGCAACCAAGAAGATTCTGTTTTTTTAAGCTACAATGTTGCTGTACAAGCTATGTGCGGCAACCGTTGTAAATTTATTTACAATTCAGTCCTCCAATCGGGGACTAAAATTGCAAAGTCTGAAAAAAAGAGAGTCTATTGCGAACATCAAAGTTGTGCGACATCCAAGGCCGTTTGTCAAGCTAGTTTTTTTTTTGGCTGTTTATCTAAAATTTTACTGTAACTTACTATAAAAGTTGTAGAAAAATTTTTTGAAGTGTATAAATTTTTAGATATTTTGAAGAGTATAGTTTAAAAATTTTGAGAAATTTTTTGAGGTTACCGTAGTTAAAGTTATTAAAAAATTTGTAACAAACAAATTTGGCCAAATAATTGCTTGCCAAACAATACCAAAGTTGTACGGCAATACTCACCAGTATTTTTCTTTTCTTTTTTTTTTTTAAAGTAAGTCTATTGCCGCACCAAAGTGGTGTGGCCACAAACACCTAATTTAAAAAAAATTACCATTTCGGTCCTCGATTGTTGGACTGAAATGCAAATAATTTTGCAAAGATGGCTGCACAAGCTTTGTGCGGCAATAGCATAGCTTTAAAAAAAAAAGAATATATATGGAGAACATAGGGAAAAATCCCTTACTCAAGGGTGATTTTATTTTTTTATCATTATCTAAAGAAATTTGCTGATTTACTTCTATTATCAGGCTTTTTGTTTGGATTACCCTTTCACTAGAATTTTTTTGCCTCGTGTTTTCTTTCGCTATACGGATACAAATGTCATTTTAGTTGCGATGACAGAGTTAAAATTGACCGCTTTGAGAGTGGTAGGGAAACGCTTTGCGTACTTTTCTTTCCAACTTACATGGGGCAGCAGATGCTATAGTTCATCTTGTGAGCAAGGGAATCACTTTGAGAGAGGGAAAAAATTAATGAAATTGAAGGTGGGGTTATTTTGGAAGTTTGGTGAGCCCTTTCTTCGTAGTATACATGACAAAAAGGTTTAATACTTTTTTTTTTTTTGGTAATAAAGGTTTAATACTTAATAATCTATAGAAACGTATGAAGAGGAGCTTTTAAACATATTTTTTATTAATATTTGACTTTAAATTATTGTTTTAAGCTCTTCTTGTAGCTACCAAAAAGTCATTGGTTCAGACAAAAGACGTGCTTGATATAACTCGTTAAATGCTTCAAAGATTGGAGGCAAATTTCGGGGTTCGTAAATTCATGAAACAATAGTTTGTTGTTATTTCTATGTGTGCTTATATGGTTTAATACATAGGAAATTGCTTGTATGATGGGAAGTGGTGCACAGGAAGTTAACCATTATTGTCTGATTTGCAGGTAAAACAAATTGGTTCTGTGTCACTAGACTCAACACAAAGCAAAGACAAAGAACATATTCAAAATTATTTCAAAATTATTTAACATGTTCAGACGCATTTAATGACAAAAAATTGAACATCTGAATTAATTAAGTGGCACTGAATTCCTAAAAAAAATTTGTTCCAAAAAATAAGTGATAAACTATTCACTTATCATTAAATGTGGTATATACTCAAATGTATTAGCATTTAATAATTTAATAACTTAATGGATTCAGACTTCAGATTTCAAATTTCAAATTTTAGTTTTATCAAACGCACTCTAAGTTAGCCATTATTGCCTAATTTGCAAGTGAAACAAATTGGTTCTGTGTCAATAGACTCAACACAAAAGAAAGACAAAGAACATATTCAAATTTATTTAAGAACTATGAAATCTTGTTTATCTTGTTTGCAAGAGTTTTGTCTTAAACTCTTTGT